TTATGGGTTGTGAGTCGTTATAATCACGCATTAATGAAAATAACTAGTTTACAACTATACAAACGATCCCTTAGGCGTCGTCCGTACTATTCACTTAATCTAACCACCCTAACTTCTCATAGCCCCACAACCGAGGAGAAAAGAGGGTGCGAAGCCCCCGTTATTTCCATAATTCGTTCATGGCTATCGTGAATGTGAAAGGCACTTGGCCCGACTCGCATTTGACTTCTCGACTTTGCTAGCAGTACCAAAGGACCCTTGGGGTCCAACAACACAATAAAGCTATTGAAAGTCCTTTTACACGGAATTAGGTCATATATGGCCCAATAACATGTAAGCGCGTTCCCTTTAGGCCTAAAGATTATGTCATTGGGCTAGCTAGGCCCAACAAGCACGATTTGAAACTTTCGAGCCCAAAGATGGTGTATTGACTTCTCATAAATTTCCGCGTGTGTATTGAAGTATCATTGTTTATTGATTTTTGATTCGTTATTGATTCGAGACTGAATCAATTCGTTTGGTAATGATTTTGGTATTGAAGGTGTATTTATTATTACGTTTCACCGGTAGACATAGTACTCGTATTTTTATTTTAAGGGATCTATTGTTTTAAGAATGTGAGTTTATCTTCTTAAGCCCTTTCTCGGATAAAATTTACACTTTTAACCCTTTGTACATAAAAGAATTTCTGATTTAATCCGTAAACTATTTTTCTTGACACTTTAGTATCAAAACTTATTGGAAAGGCATTTTTAGCACAAATTTACTTGATAAACAGCTTAAGTCCTTCAAAAATGAAATTTTCTCGGTTGAAACCTCCATTTTCGCAACTTTTACAATTTTGACCCAAAATGGAAATTTTTTGCATCTTTGGTCCCTTTTTAATTTGAAAAGCATTTTTGACCCTTGAAATAGATTTGGTACACTAGTAATCCTCTGTTTTACAGAAATGTGCAGTTTCAGCCCCTCCAAATCAAAAATCTCGCAATTTGGGGCTTTATTGGGCTGAAAAGTCCATTTTGGCCCATTATGTTTAAAATTCACATTTTTAACCCTTCAAAAGTGTTAATATTCAGAAAATACATATTAGAAACTGTTTAGACTCATCTCAACCTTCAGAATTTATATTTTGTCATTTTGGCCCCTTAGTTTTGTATTTTTAGCATTTTAAGCCCAAAAATGGGTTTTTAAGTCCAAAAATGTTCATATTAACCAACTAGATTATTTTTCTAGACTTGATTAGTGTGAAATGGTATAAGTTATACTTATTTCATTCTTCATATTGTAGATCTCGGTTTTTAGGTTCTTGTGGCTAGTATAAACATCACAATCACACAAGATCATACATATAAGCATAAAAATCACACAAGGCATACATATACTCATAGATATACACATTTGCTTGTATTCTCCCCCATAAAAATTATAAAAAACGAAAAAGAGGGGGGGTATGAAGCTCACCTTTGGGTGTGGTTTCGGTTTTCGGAAGAAAATGAGAAGAAATTCGGCCTTAGCAACCTTCCTTGGAAGATTTCGAACTTGGATGCTTCTTAGGTGCTAGATCATGAGTTTGAATGAATTAAGAGGTGATTTTTGGATGAAATGAAGTAGCTAGCTTAAGAATCTAAGAGATTTCTTACCTTAGATGATGATTTTTGTGTAAAAATCCCCTTGATTCCTTCTTAGATCTCGAAATATGGATGAGTTATGAGAGTGTTTCCTTGAGAGAAAAGTGAGTGAAATGTGTTTGTGTGTGTGCTTGGACTCAGCCGAGAGCAAGAGAGAGAGGGAGAAAAAGAGTAGCTAGACTTGGAAGTATGTGAGTGCATGGATGTTTGGGTCTTCATGCATGGATTTCCCTTGAATAATTGTGAGGTGTCACTCACAAAGTCAACTCTCCTCTTCTTTTGGGCTTGGGCCGAGAATGGGGAGGGTGAGAGGAGGTTCTTGGGCTTTTTGCCCTTAAGCCCATGTTATAGCTAGGTTGGATGATTTTTGGCCCTAAAAAAATATAAATGTGATTTTTATGACTTATTAGGCTAGATTAGGTTAATTATGGTCCAAAATGGTTCATATAATTAATCTATTTCATTCTAGGCCCAATATGGCCCAAAATATTGAATTAAATGGAAGTGGGTCCAATTAGAGCCCATTTAAGAGTTCTAAGCCCAAGATAGCCAAATCGGAAGCTTATTGGTCCATTGGGCCCAATAAGGAAGTCCTAGTCCAAAATGGACTTAAACAAGAACTTGTAGGGTTTCCAATTGCTTAATGACTATTTGAATTGCTTGCATGGGGTGTTTGATTGAAATTTTGCTAACATAGAGTATGCATCATACATGCTCTTATGTTTTTGATTCATAAATTGGTTTAAGTGTTGGTTACAAGGCACAAAAACTCCTAATTGTGACAAGGTCACATTGACCTATGTCTGTAATTATGTTTATGTTCAAAGTGCACGAAATAAAAATGTACTTTTGTTTGTTGTCCCTAGTTTAAAAAATAGCAATGTACTTTGGCATCAATAAATGCATTTTGATTTGGTAATTATGTTTGTATTTGTCTTTATGTTCCAAGTGCAAGAAATATTAATATACTTTGTTTTTTATTCCATAGTTTAAAACTAGAATTGTAGTTTGGAATCAATAAATGCATTTGATTTGTTAATTGTGTTTATGTTCCATGTGCATGAAATGATAATGTACTTTGTTTTTTGTTCATAGTTTAAAAATAGCAATGTACTTTGGCATCATTAAATGCATGTTGATTTGGTAGTTGTGTTTATGTCCAAAGTGCAAGATATATCAATGTACTTTTGATATTTTTTATATTTAAGTGTAAGAAATAACGTTGTATTTTCGTAGTTTTTGTTTATGTTTCATAATTTAACTTATAAGCCCATATATGTTGTTATTTATTATATAGTTGGAAAATCATTGGGGATTGCTCAACAACCTGATGTGTAGTGAGGAACTTTATGTATTTTTTCAATCGAAAGATCAAGGAGGAAATGAGGAGAACAGAGATAATGGTTCGTCAGATAGTTAGTTTGTTTTTTGCATGGTAGACTTGTTGTGACACTCTGGTATTTGTTGGAGTTATAACGCTATTGCTGTTTATTTTGGTATTTGTATGAAGTTATAACAGTATTTGGTACCTAATTGAATGTCATTATGTAATTTTTTCTTCATTTAATGTGGTTACGTATCAGTTTTTTTGCAATTGAAAGTGTTGATTTAAAAAAAATTGAAAAATAATATTACCTGCAAAACTATTACTGGGCGACAGAGGGAATTACTGGTGACAAGGTTTTTAAGGGCGACAGAGGGTATTATCGGTGACACAAGTATTCGCGGCGACAAATATCTTTACCAATGACATTTTTAGCAATAGCAACAGAGCCTTACTAGCGACTTTTGTGGTCGCTAATTCCGTTTTTTCTTGTAGTGTTTTGTGGCCGCTAATTCCGTTTTTTTTTTCTTGTAGTGTATTCTTTTCCTGAGCCTAGCCTATATAAATCTGCAGACTGAACTTAAATAGACTTAATTTAAGAGAAAATGATATGCTCTGGTCATGTAGATGGATATGGATATGTGGGTTCAAATAATGTAAAATGTACATAAGGTCGTTCTTGGAGCCACATTGTAGAGTAGTTGCACACGTTTTACATTACATCGGAGCAGTATGAGCATTTTCTTTTAATATTTGTGAGTGTTATTGTCATCAACTAAGAAGAAACTATATCTTGTAATAATAGGCAGCCAGAATTTTCATTTATTTTATTGAACATTTTTAGGGAGAAATCACACAACAAAAGATCTCTTGTTCCAAAAAAAGACTAGAAGAAAGTAGGGGATGCTTAACGAGCTTAGTAGTACTAGTTGTTCTCTAGAGATAATTCATAGTGATGTGATCGGTGAGAATACTTCAGGCATGGATGACAAAGTTATCGTTGGGATGATGGAGACTCGCCGAGGAGAAAGGAAGCAAAGAATGCTAGCGATTCACTTGGTTTAAAAATGGGCACTGCATGACCAGCTCCTCTAAATGTAGCGAAACTAAGCCCTCTATATTCTTGAAGCCAACCAGCAACCTGTATGCCCAAAAGAAAGAAACCTACTTAGTTGCACAAATTAAGATTTATGTTCATTAATTTGTCATTCCCATTTGGTCGGGTGCACTTGTGGTTTATTTAGGATAAATTTAAATGCAGATAAGAAATGATGGAAAATTGCTAAAACAAATGAATCTATGGATAAACATCCCATAGATATGCATTTATGTAACGTTGAACACAAAACCGTAACATGTGGTTAACATGATATCTTGATTAAATAGTGAATATATAATTAGAAAAAGAGATGATCCTCCACCACTTACTATGCTTGTGGTTCCATTAAATATAGCACGTCATATGGTCTACATAAAATATTGTGCTTTTTTCTATAAGGATCAAGTTCAAATGGTTTTATTAACCCAATTAATGACGACTAACATATTTGGTAAGTCAGGCCTATATATATTAAATTTAAGAATTTACACCCCGTTTGATTGGAAAGTTGTAGGAAGTTGATAAATGGTCATTACTTGTATTAAAGAATGAAAAGTGAAGTTACGTTATATTCTTTGGTTATTAACAAATATTAGATCTGGCATTGAGGCGGCTTTGGAGCGAATCGATCTTGATCCAAACCCTTTTAACAAATTTCAAAACCCGATCCAATCCCGCTACATAACCCACAGGGTTTTGACTAATCAAACCCATACCCTTATCCACCGAATCAACAGATATTTAAACCCGCCCCGTAACCCACATGTTTTTTGAATAATCAAACATATTTTACTTAAATCATAAAATCACATTTGTTAAATAAAACAAATGTTGATTTAGAAAACACATTATGTACTCGAAGACTTTCGATTGGAATTAAAATCATTATTGTAGTTACTTCTAATTGGTTTTTGACCCTCGATTGCATTGATAGAGAATAACAATTACAAACGTTTTTCTAGTTAATAAATGAATTTATTGATTTATAAATGAAATTGGTGTTTACATGATGAAATATTTTTGGGAGAAGACTGGAGGTCTAGAAGTTGAATCCTCGAGTCCTATGTATAAATAGTTTAGTCTTTGACCTTTTCTCTTTAGACTTTCGATTGGAATTTAAAGTAAAATTTAGACAGTATAAATATAAATGTATAATTCTAAAATTTCTATGGGGCGGGTTATAAATGGAGCGGATCGGTGATGATCCATACCAGACCCTTTTAATAAAAGGGTTAGCGGATACGGGTCGTTAATGGGTAAACGGATCAAAAACTATGCTCAAAATCCATATAATTGTTAAGGGTTTGGATCGGATCAAGATCAAAACCCGCTCCATTGCCACGCCTAACAAATATTATTGTTGAATGTTACTGTTTAAATTATTTGGATTCAGAGAAAACAACAAGCACCACTAATATACCCGATTTCGGTCATTTTTTTTTATTGATTTATTATATTTAAGGAAACAAAATAACAAAGTTAATTACCTGCTTCTGATGGTACCAAGGCCTCCATGCTCGAATAATAGGCAGTCCAAGAGAGCTTAAACTATATCTTGTGGACAACACAGGGACTCTTCCATCGGTATCTCCACTATTGCACCAAAACGCAATAATAAAATAAACAACAATAACAATAAAAAAAAAGTTTCCACATTTTTTTTATATGTTGGTGTTATACATACCTGTAGACCCATATTCTAAGTTTTGCAGCAATTAATTTTTTGTATATCGGAATAACAGATGCTTTGGTTTGTGCCCAGCCATCAAATATATCCACACTGCAACCATTCTTGTAACGTTAGTACTATTATTATCACATTATGATAATTCTATGTACGTAACTAATTAATCTCGAAAGAAAAAAAATAATTTCATTACTTGCAAATGCTCCAGTTCTTGAGTTGATGACCATCCCCAACGTGCAGAGCCTTCTGAACTTCAAGTATATTGTAATAACTTTTAGCGTAGTCATCAAGGCAAGGATCATAGCCTCCCATTATGCGTGGCATCTAAAAGAATATATATGATAAATATTAATGTTTTATTTTGTACATGTTGTTCTTTCCAAAAACAAATGACTTAGTGCGATGTCCAATATTACGTCACATATTTTGAACTAATATGTTGATGCTATTGATCTATATATCCACTTAATATATATCCTAGTAAGTAACATAATTTTTTTCTTTTTTTGGATCTTCATAAGGCGCATGTTTTTCAACTACTTAAGACAAATGAGGCTGATAATTAATTACTAATCACCTACCATCATAGATGAACTTTTCTTGAACACATATTGCATGCCTTTATTTTCTGTGTATGCGGAATTGGGAATACAGACCGATGTGTAGAGGCTATACATGTCTATCTCTTTATATTGTCTGAGAACTTCATCCACACCTTGGCTACAATCATCGTTGCTCCAGATATTGTTACTGTTGAAGTCACAAGATTCTCTTATGGTTTTGTGAGTTTCATCAGATACCACAGCGTGGCTCCAAGCATAGTCTATCATCCCTTTCCAGTCTTCAGCATCGTTTGTTTCAGGGTTACCTAGCTGTATATATGTGAATCAATATAGATAATTGATTAGCTCATTGTTATAACAAGAGAAGAATGATCGATGCGCACTATATATGTGTTAAAGTATGTACAATGATAATACCAATATTCCTTTAAGATTTATAAACATTGATGGGTCCTTGTTTTTATCTTGAATAAGACCTGCCAATTCTGGAACATATTTTCCTAAACATATAAAATAAATTAGATTAACGACATATGTGAGAGCTTCAAATAAAAAAAAAACTAAGGTGTGTTTGGTTGTGGAAAATTGTTTTCGTTTTCTAAAAAAATGTTTTCAGAAAATAGAGTTGGGTTTTCATTTTCAATTTTTAATGAAAATTTTAGAAAACGCGTTTGGTTGAAACCAGAGGAGTTTTCATTTTCTATCTTACAAATTTGGAAAACTTTGGAAAACTGTAAAAATCACTTTTCTAATTTACATACAATTTGGAAAACTGAAAATTTTCATTTTCTTGGAAAATTTTGAAAAACTGAACGAACAAAACGTGTTTTCAAAATTTCCGTTTTTTTGGAAAAATTTTTTAGAAAACTGGAAAATTTTCTGCAACCAAACGCACATAAGGTTTTACATGAAACATGGCTGATGTTTAATTACCTGCATAGCTCTCTCCAGCAATATAGAATGTTCTATTTCTATATGAAGGAAACTTGAGGAACCAATTATGTAGGAACACATACGCATCGTTTGCTGATCATATAACATTCCACGATATTATTTAGTGGAGAATTAATGTTCTATTTCTACATGTATATGTGTGTTGTAATTATTTATCATATGACTTACCGGTGAGGTCATCTCCAAGGTTATCGTAATCGCTAGTTGTGTTGGAGTACGAAAATCCAACACCAACAGGAGATTCGAGAAACAACATATTTGCTTCTGCATTACCATTTAATAAATCGATTGATGTCTCAAATCAAATATATATTTTTAAATAGACAAGGATACAACTAGGAGTATATATCAGTGTACATAGTTGTTTAATTAAATAATTGAATGAGATGGAATATACCTAATTTGCATTCAACGAATATATCAAGTTGGTTATGAATATGAAATGTGTATTAATTTTATACGCGAATCCAAAATTTTAATAGAGTTGATGTTTTGTCAATGTCCTCAAAATAAGAAATAAAATTAATATACGTATATCTGCATGTAGCTAGTATGCGTACTATGATTTATGCATATAGTAATTAGTAGTGACTATATATACCTCTATTCCATGAGTATGGATTTAACCGAAGACCTTTTCCATCTGTGCTCACTAAGAATGGTCCAATCTCTTGTGTAGCCCCATAACCCACGGAAGAACACCCAGGACCTGAAACACATAGTAGTTACTTGTCACCATAATGGATAGTAGTCATGGAGACATGGATTATGCTCAAAACCAATTAATCGTGTGCTAGGTGGGTGAATTATAGTATAAGATTAAAACGTTGATGTCCACGCAACCCCACTAATTATATATAAGCAACACGTGAGGTTTAAGCACCTAACTCTACATTTATTTTACTTAATAAAAATGTATAGTTTGTTTGTTTCGTTGAATTGAAATTAAAAACAAACAATAGCTAGCATATACTCTATATGTTCCAAAAGTATAATACATCTTTATTTTTTGGTTTGTCTTAAAATAATAGTTCATTTCTAAAAATAAATATTATCATTTTTATCAAAATACCCCTCATTATTAATTAACCAACTAAACATTTAATACATCAATATTTTTGTTAATCTCTGTGTCTTTCAATAATACCGGAACGGAAGGAGTATATACGAAATAGTGAACATCGTACAGAAACGATCCTAACACGTTTATCGGTCACTTCGTTGTTAATAATGATGTTTTCAGAGATAAAAAAAATAAACGAGAAGTTTATGGAATTCCATTATATATACAAGAAGATGATAATTTTCATACCTCCATTAAGCCACAGCACTAAAGGCTTCTCATGTGGTAGAGTCCAAGCTTCATAAAACCAGTAAAATAGAGCCCTGCCATTCTTTTCATTTACAGTCACATATCCAGCATAGTGTTGGAATTCTACATTAGGCTGACCCGGCAAGTCTGTTACAAGATCTTCACTTGTCTGGACATTATATTTTTTTTCATTCGACCATTGTGAATGCGTTGCAACTACAGTGATTTTCTTAGATAGCAATACAACAAGAACTATATTCAAAACAGACATAATTTTCCATATCAAAGCCATAATTAATATGGAATAGCTAGTAGCTAGCGAACAAGCTCAAATACAGCTTAATTAGTTTGCTAAATGAGACATACCAACATGCCTATTTATACTTGTTGAGATGTTAACAACTCCCACTACCGAAATATGGGATGATGATGCTTATAATTAAACAGATATTAATTAATGAAAAGTGCTACGTGGAAAAATCGTCCTTATCAACCAGAAATTACATGTAATCCGACGTGGCGATTTGCTTTTATAAGGCCTATTTATCAAGGCACCATTAGTAATCTCTTGGGAAATTACATAAATTGTTACATAAATATGTATCTTTATATTTAGGGCCACATACAAACAGGAACTTGCTAGAAGTATACATCCGAGGAAGGTCTTGTAAAGTTCCTCATGGGAATTAATTACTATATTTTGGGACCATTAACATTTTAATGTACTTACGGACATCTACCCAACCTATTGGCTATTATAAATGTCGTCAACTTTTTGTGTTTTCATAAATCGAGTTTTATGTTTTTTATTATTATTATTTTTTTTCTAATTTTAGTATATATTTTTTAAATGTAGGTTTGTTATTAAAAGGTGGATAGAAATTGGTTAATTTGATATTATGTTGTAGAAATATCTTGGTTTTAATTGCGCCACCACTTTTACAATTTTTTAGGAGTTTATGCGAAACAAGATCATATATTTCATTTCTAATTTCTAGTTCATACATATTTAAACTATCATCCACCAACTTTAATTTTATTTTTTATTCATAAGGATTTATTACTAAAATCATTTTATACGTTACAATAATAATCCTTCAATTTTTATCTATTTGATGTTTACATCTAACATTATTGAATAATTAAGTTTTTTGTTTATTTTTATATCTTATATATACACCACAAGGAAAAAGGCCATTACCGGTGACAAAAGTCGCCGGTAAAAATCCCAAAAATCGCCGGTACTGATAATAGCGGCGACGCGTCGCCGGTAATGAGTCGCCGCTACTGCCTCGTCGCTATTGATCAGTTTGTCGTCGCTAAAGATAATAGTCGCCGCTATTAGTATGTCGCCGCTAATAATGTTGTCGCCGGGAATGACATTTGTCGCCGGTAAAAAGTGTCGCTATTAGTAATGAGACGCCGTACTGCCTCGTCGCTATTGATCAGTTTGTCGCCGCTAAAGATAATAGTCGCCGCTATTAGTATGTCGCCGCTAATAATGTTGTCGCCGGAATGACATTTGTTGCCGCTAAAAGTGTCGCCGGTAATGAGCTCTGTCGCCGGTAAAAGTGTCGCCGGTAATTTGTTTTCAATTTTTTTTTAAATAATGATTTTCGTTGCCGGTGATAATATCGCAGGTAAAAGTGTTGCCGGTGATAATATCGCAGGTAAAAGTGTCGCCGGTAATAACAATATTCGATTAAATATCAAAACCAATAGTGTCGACGCTAATTACAAAACAAACATCCTATTAAATATCAAACATAATAGTGTCAAAAAACATCCTATTACAAACAAACATCCAAAATACAATTAAATATCAAAAGTCATACTATCCGAGTAGCAAAACAACAAAATTTTTACAATCTACTAAGTAGCAAAACGAGACAACATATGCAAATAAAACCCATTCTTACATACCCTCATCGCCGTTCCCATCGTTTCCTTGATTGTTTTGGGATTGAAAAAACGAATAAAGCTCATCCCTACATGCCGGGTCGGCGAGCATTGCACGAAGATTTTCCAACTACATAATTAATAACAATATATATAAATTATAAGTTAGATCATCAAACATAAACAAAAACTATCAAAATACATTGTTATTTTTAAAGTAAGATAGAAAACCAAAGTACATTGCTATATTTTGCACTTGGGACAAAAACCAAATTACCAAACTTTTTAGCAAATAACCACCACAAAACCAAAACTACCAAATCAACATGCATTTTACGATGCTAAAGTAGATTGCTATTTTACCTGTGATGGTTGTGATGGTGGTTGTGATGGTTGCGAAGGCTGTGGAATCGTCGGGAGACCAGAAGGTTTGCGGCCAATGCCTCTAATGTGGCCACGTCGCTCTCCTAATACTTTCTCGAACGTAGCTCTTTCTTGAGTTGGCGTAAAC